CAAAACATTTTTTTTTTGTTTTGGGGGGGGGGGGGTCCTCCTATTGTATGTAGTTTACCGCATTGTGTAAAGCATGTTGGTCATCCTTGAGTCACACCAGTGAGCATAGCTTAATACCAACATTCACCCAGCGAATGGAAGATCTAGTAATTTAATATGGTGTCGTTTCATCCAACTCATAAAGATATAGGTTATGCTTCAAGATAGGAAGATACAAATTACTATGAAAGAAATTGGGTGTATGCTTTTAACCACATTTTGATTAGTATATGTTAAGTATTCGTAGACTCGTGATTAGATTTTAAGCTCTCCTACAGATATTTTGTTAGTAAACAATGTGAATGGTTCCTAAAATGTGTTCAAAGAATTTAATACGATTTGTGCATCAAGTGATAAATTGGACATGTCATTGGAACCGATGTATTTCATTCAGAGATACGCATGATAATTTTACTAATAGTGCTGCTACTTTATTCCAAATCTAAAATTGTCTTAACCTATTAACATTCAGTAGCAACATACTCATGCATGTGTTTCAACAATACCCATGGTAATATTATATCTGTTCTTGTTCCAGTGCCTTGTTCTGGAGGCATTGCTTCCGTACCAGCTGACATGTTGCAATCAGACACTCCTGCACAACAGTATGACCATTGTAAATTGAAGCCAGATGACACCAGTTCTTTAACAGATGTCACTGTTTATGAGATTGTTAGTGTAAATGTGTGGCCTTCAAGCACAACCACTGCTACAATACTTCAGAATCCTGTGGTATGGAAAATCCATCTTCTTAAATGGCATTTATGGTGTGAGTTGTTTGTGGTAGATGTTTTGATGTTAAGGTACTTCTGTGGTTTTTTTGACTGAGTAGAACTGTATTGTAACTAAAATTTGTTGGGATTTCCTTTAAAAGCACTATAATATGCTATGCCTGTTTATATTGCATATGCATCAAACCAGAAAACCAGTCTTCATTTCTAAAGAAAATATAAATAATGGTTTGATTCATCTGTATACTTCATAAATGTAAAGTTTCAGGTATGTCCACAGCAGTCTGCATTTATCAGACCATCACTTAAAAGTGGAAAATGTCATTTAGTATCAATGTGAGTCATTACATTTATATCTAGTATTAAAGAAGCAAAAACGGTCAATTTGAGAATAAGGGGACTTTCACTGATGTAGTTTGATTGTATTGACTAGACATAAATCTTACTTCTATTTCAGAATAATGGAACTGCAGATAATGACAATTCCATCAGCTTCCCTCGGAAGCGAAAGATTAAAAGGCCTTTTTCTCCAGAAATTCATGCAGGAGGCAAAAGATTAATTGAGAAAAGGAAAGGAGTAAGGAAGCAAAAAGGACTTCAGACAACAGAAGGTATGGCATCGCAGTACCAGTTAACTTCTAAATCCTGTTAATTAATCGCCCAAAATCGTGTCTGTATCATTATGCACTGTATCAGAAAGTAGAACCACTTGGTGATTTTCTGTTCCAGTTACAAATATTCCTGATGTGGGACCAAATGGAAAACCATTTTCCTGTGAAAAGTGTCATTCACCATTCATTGTCAATCCAGCAAGGATCCATAGGCTAGACCCACGAAGGAAATATAGACCACGGAAGATCACCGATGTGGTAACAAAGCAAGTTCTTCTGCTCTGCAATGCCTGTGGCCTTTCAATGTCTAGATCAAGAAAGGAGAGACATAAAAAGGTTAGTTTTTATGGAAATATTAAAACTCATGTGATTTAAACAGAGTTACCTCTTACTTCTTTAAAGTGAAATCATTTTAACCCTGCAAATCCCGTGAAGGATGAAGAACTACAATTTTTTTTATATAGATATAATCTTGATCACAGCTTTCTGTCACAGTTCATTACTTCTTGAGAAACTAAATCTTGTGGTGCGCATGTGTGCAGGAACCTCCAACACAAGAAGAAAAAGACGCTTACTTGAAGAAAGCAGCTGAATTTGCAGCATCGTTGGCTGCATCACTCCAAGATCTTGATGCCTGTCGCCTTTACTGTCCAGCATTTAAATCGTCAGCTTGTCGGTGTTTACAGAAGTACATCTCAGCAGATGGTAATGAAGTGTCATTATCACCATTACATTTGACCTTGAACATTGCCATGGCACTTTCCCAACCTGAAATAAAATTATACATTAATTCATTCATTGAATATTACCTTATTTAGACAACTTTAGACATGGGTTACTTTACTTTAGACGGTTAATGGAATATACAGCAAGTTGTGAGGTATTAGGAATTCTTAGCTGTCAGACAGACGTTTACATATTCCCCAGGGGTAAAGGGGCTGGGGCATGAAGCTGGCCATTCATCTCTGTAGTGCCAAGGTTAAGAATTTATGGAGCTGTACTTCCACTCCCCAATATTTCATGGTGTTTATGTACACAGATAATGTTGCCTTTGATTTTATAGTCATGGTTGGATATACAACATAAACGTAAATAATTCAAGTAGAGGGGGACCTAAAAGTGTGTGTTGATTCCTGCTTGCTAAGTGATGCTACCTGGTAGCAATTTTATTCACTGTTTTCATCTTTGATGTGAAATAGTGAGTGAGTATTATCTATACAGATATATTAAATACTATCGGACTTCTCTCATTGATTGAATTGGCAGATGACTTTCCAAGGTTTCAAGGCAGACAATGGAAAGTATAAGTTCATTCAAAACACTGATGAAAAGCTACAAGGCATCAACCTGGAAGGCCACAATCAAGATTTCCACTATAATAAAAATTCAAATCTTGCATAACACTAAGTTTATAATCTTAATTTTAGGTAGGAGTGAAGAAGGGTCTAATGAAAGAGCCTTGCATTTACTGGCACTTCTCAAGGAGGCTCGGCAGTTGACAAAACAGAAGATTGCCTCGCAAACCATTGAGGTAGCGTTTTATTCACGTACATGACTGTTGTACCACAGATTGAATTTAGATTATGCTTGGTTGTATCACCATCCATGCTTTAGCGTTTGCATTCTAATTAGTGTCCTAAAGTACCAGTCATTTGCTTCAAGCCCAGTTTGCACAGATTTTACGTCACATGAAAGATCACAGTTTCAAAAGTATTTTATTGTCCAGAATAGATATGAAATTAGTTTCTTAGTATTTTGCTCTCCCAAAATGGAATGCATGTTTTTCTCAGTGATTTATATTACTTGAATAACAGATTAACACGGAACCCGGAGCAAGGTCCGAGACCGAGAATGAAGGAAAGCAAAGGCCTCAAGTTCCCAGAGGACTAAAGAAGCGCAGAAGTAAGGAATACGAGGAATTTGTTCTTAAAAATAGGCAGTATCTGCGTGAGGAGCTTCATTTGTGTGAAAGAGCTTCACAAAGAGTTCTGATGTACTCAAATAATTTCTTGCATAAGAAACTGAAAACATCACCCAGCAGGTATGAACAATTTTCATAACATCAATCATCAGTTTACGAAAAGACCTGTTTAATTCAATAATGTCAATGTAGTGTAGTATTGAAGGCACCTGAATTCAGTTCAGAAACTTCAGTATAACCTTGTAATAGACCATTTTTATTTGGTAAAAAATTTACTGACGCCTTCACATTAAAATACCAAAATGTACAGATTTAGGCTCACCAAATATCCAAGTAGCGTTCCTTTCCCTGAACTGTTCACTGTGTTGTAAATTGATTTGAACAAATTTCATGGTAAAAGTTTTTCATAGACGAATGCATGCAACATTTTAATTATAAAACTTGAATGGATTCAACTAGCTGAGGAGCCTTCAGTTTTATTATGTCAGTAAAAACTATGCTTTGGAAAATTTACTGTTCTATACAGTATTTATTCTGTTCACTTAAATACCACTTCGATTTGTTTCAGCAGGGGCTGCCGTGTGGACAGGGTCAATGGTAAAAATGCTCGAGGCTTGCTGAAGCCAGTGTCGCAACTGGCAAATGAGACGTGCTGCAGTGACAGATGTGTAACAATGGTGCTGACCCATTCCAAGCTATTAGAAACATGGCGGGCCAGGGTAAAATTGGGGCAGCGTGAGGCAAGGCGGGTGTTGGCAGAGATGTTAACTCCATCAGGAGGTTCCAAAGCCAACTGCTACAAATTCATTTCCATGGTGACAGGTAGGGCAGATTAATAATAAATAAGTTAAGGCTATAGAAATTATAAAAATATGTGTTTACTATTACAATTTGTTAGATTCAGAGGTTAATGTCTCTTTGGCTGATATCGGTAGACCCAGACCAGTCATCTCAATTTTAATTGAAGTTTTCACAGTTTTTATGCTGAGAAGTAAAACATGACTCAATAACACATAATTAAAATATATTAAGTTACAAGGAAACTGATATATTATTCTTGTCTTTGCTCAGTTTTTGTTTTCATGGTTGTAGGTTGCAGTTATGCAACGATATGTCTGGTCAGCGACCAGATGAGGAGGACGCAAGGCGAACGAGAGCCTCCAGACCATGGTTTGAAGAAATGGTGGCGTGATCACCCAACGGACAATAAGAAGAAGGAGAAACAGAAAGTGTGCAGTGAGTAGAACAAATTGTAGATGAGGACTGTATCATTGCGATGCAGCTTCTCTGTTATATCAAAAGCTTGCAGCAGCAATAAAATAATATTAACTGAGTCTTATGGTGTGTCAGAATTAATTTTTTAATTCCAGTCAACCCCTAAGGAAGAACTTTTATTTCTTCCTGGTAAAAGCTATTGAAAGGCCACACCCTGCTTTTTTTCCATTTAAAATACTGCAGTGTTACTTTTGACAACCAATCAAATGTCACTGCTTAGGGATATGAAATTGATCTCTGTTGATAGATAAATCAAGCAAGGTGGACAACAGCGATGAAGATGATCCTCAAGCCTTGTCTGATATTGCCAGTATTCAGCTTCCAGACAGAGAAGATCTGGATTCTCTGAGCCCACAAGAAGTTTCCAGCCATTTGCAGAAACTGCTTGATATACAAAAACAACTTTTAGCACAGCAAGCTCAAGTGCAGCAGCACCTGAAGGAGGTCAGATTGAAGATGAACAAGGCTCAACAGGTTCACTCTGCCGAGTCAGCCAAGAACATGGGAACAGATGCAGCTGATGGTGCGGGGGTGGTGACACAAACTGGTGACCAACAGGTATTGCGTGTCCTGGAACTGCCCACGCCACCACCATCAGGTAACTGAAGTACACTCGTGTGCTGTGAAACTTTAAAGTCCCAATACATTTAATTTGTTACATATGAAAACAACACCTACGACTGGAAGGAATATGAGAAAGGGAGTGGGCGGTCACCAGGAATTTGTATTTGGTTTGGGTTGGCAGTGCCACATGCCATTAGATTGAGCAATAATTACAGAAAAGATCTAGATACATAATTAGCTATTTCTTGTTACCACGTAACCTAAAAATTCAATGTTTAAATATTATATTTATAGGAAATGGATAATTTTCTGTCTACATGAATGTTTGTTGTGTTGGTACGTTTTCTGAAAACTTATTTTGCCTTTCCAGATCAGTGAAAATTAGTATGGGCCGGTAACGACGGAAAACATTTTTTTATTAAATAATGGTAGCAAGGTTTAGTAAATATGACTTGCAGATTTCAATTCTGCTTTACAGTCATCACGGAGAACATCCACCCGCAGCCCAGTATCTCGGTGATGACTTCGACTGGAGATTTTGAGCCCCTGACTGCTATCAGTGTGAGAGGGCAGACAACTTTCAGTAACATTGTTATTCTACCGGAGTCGGCACTTGCAGCTGGTAGTGCCGCACAAGGTACGTGCATTGTGTGAACAAGAACAAATGACATAAATCTGTAAAGTGTGAGCAATATTGCATTTCAAAAAGGATAGAAACTGATCATAAACTTCCTACAAATTGTTATGAAACAATTTCATGTTTTAATTACAAACATGAAGATTTGATTGAGGTAATATTTGACAAAAACTTGTGTTCCAGTATCGAGACTTTGGCATATGAAGAAGAGCGGGAATTTTAAGTTCTCCCCAGAACTTCTTGTTCATTACTCATATAGATATTTTTTTATTGTGCCATCATTTTAAGAATGAGATAGGCTGGGCATGTAGCGCGCATGGATGGGACAAGAGGTGTGCACCGGGTATTGGTTGGGAAGCCTGAGGGGAAGAGACCACTGGGGAGACCTAGACGTAGATGGGAGGATAATATCAAGGGGGATCTATGGGAGATAGGAGCTGAAGGAGACTGGATTTTGTTGGCCCAGGACAGGATCCGGTGGAGGGCTTTGATTAATTCGGTGATGAACCTTCGGGTTCGGTAAGCCATCTAGTTTGTTAGTTAGTTACTATATTTTCACAACTGTCAATAGAGTAACCCTAATAATTGTGTATTAATTTTAAGGTTGGTAGTAATATATTCCTATTGATGTAGGGACATCTGTGATAAGCTACAGTCCTCCTACGGAAGCAGCAGAAACCATGATTCCGGGCATCTCGTCCCAAGACTTGCAGTCTGGTGCCACAGTCGAGTCAATGCCTTTTGCCACCAAAAGTAATTCAACTGCGGTCAACACATTCCAGCTGTATGGAGTTATGGATACCACTACACCTAATTTGTTGCACTTCAATTACTAGCGTAGAACAAGGAACGATTAGAAACGTGACTTGCTGAAATTGTCTCATTTGTACATTATATATCATAAATGATCTAATAAAAATAGATTTTGTTAAGAAATTTATGGTTTCATTACCGTAGGTTTACAGCCTTCGTGTGTCATTTTAAGCTGTGAGACCGACCACATCACAAAAGGACTCCCAGATTTTTATTCTAGAATAGTGAAAAAGTGGTTATTCTGTAAAGAAATTTAGTTTAAATTTTTGGGTGGGCAGTTTAAGCTATATGTTGCCAGACTGTTGATGTAAGAAGACAGAAAATGTATTGTAGATTTATTTGCAGCGAAGAAAACTTTTTAAATATGTACATCTGAGCCAGGTACAGATGACCAGCTGGGTCCAGTCTTGTGACTGCTCCTTTCAGGTTTAAAGATCACATGGGTTAGACACCGTCTAGTTTCACAGAAGCTTTGCGATATTGCAAGAAAATCGTGGATTTTGTTGATGGGTTGGGTCTTTAAATCATGACTGTTGGGAGTTACGTCACACATTCTAATATTTTGGAGGGGGAACCTCTACAAATCTCTGCAACCAAACTACACTCAACTTCTCTTTCTTATCATTATTCACAACTTGTGATGATTTATAATCTGCTAGGACAAGGGTCACTTGTACTCGGTGATATTATTAATAAAATCACTTACCTGAAAATCTCAGCTGTTTGACGAGGCACAGACCTGCTGCAAGCAGTGAATCCAGAACCGATCCTTGCCACATAAAGTTTACATCATTCAAAGACACTCGTGAATCCAACCCGATACTGTGGGACCAGCGATCCCCCAAGATACGACACAAGTACGGTTCTAAGATGTAAGCTTGTTCTTCATTGCGTGAGCATTTTGTGTTTCAGTTCAGTGTTACAATTTTGCCCGCGAGCAGTTGTCGAATGCACAAGACAAAATGCCTTGAATGGATAATTAAAGTTCCTTAGTTTCTTCGTGATCTGTTAGTGCAATTGATATGGTCTTTGGGTCACAAACTTGTATCTTAAATGGACCAGAAAAGATTACAACAGTAGTATTGGTTCAAATCACTTCTTAAGTTTCGCCTTCCTGATGTCTAAAATAATCTTCACGGTCTCATCAAGCAAAGAGTCGAGCAATCCCAGCGCTATTTCATTTTTCACAGTCACTTCATCTTCGGCGTAATCTGTCCATGCGGATTCCTCGTCGTGAGATTCCTTCATGAGAATTTCGTCTACATAATCTCTCTTCTTACGACTCCATCGAATTACGAGTTTTTCCTTATACACTTTAGGTGCAAAGCCGAACAAATCCAGCACTTTCTTCAAGATCACTTCTTGCAGCATCTCCTTGGATCTTTGAGGCAGTTTCTTTCTCTTACTTGAGAAGGCAGGCCAGTCCCACGGCACACATGGATTCTCCCGCATCGAACCATAATAAGTTTTTATCAGATCTTTTGTTAAATCAAAAATTAGTTTTTTAAACATCCTTCTGCTAGATTTTTCAATAACCCTCATATCAGCAGTGTTATCGTCCTCATTAAATTCAGGTGGAACTTCTGCGTGCTGTATGTCACCGCTAAATATGAACAAATTATACAAGAAACCAGTCATCTTCAGCGTCACTGACGTAAGTTCCTCAGCTGTTGAAAAAATGATGGGCAGCTCCTTCGTGAGGTCCTGATTTCTCAACAGGGCACGTGACACGCCAGAAATGGATGCTGTGGGGTTTCTGGTGCTCTGGTCTGGTGATGCGTAAGGTGGGGGCGGTTTTTTCGGGACCCCCCGCAAACAGAAGCACTGCGGTTCTTCTTCAGCTTCCTCGAGTTCTTGAATCTGGGAAATACAACATTGTTTTCATAACATAACGCAACACTGTGACTTCCTTTGCCTTCCTCGTGTGGTCATCATCAAGCGGGTGTGTGTTCGCTTCCTGTTATTCAGGTAAGTAAAATCATGGTTACAAATCACTAGACTGAACAGGAAGTTGAAATCTCAAGGAAGAACTGGAAGGATAATATCGGAACAGATTTTAGTGTGTAGGGTCGGGTCGGGTCAGATCAACCCAGTCAGCTTCGGTACTTTTGTCTTTGAACCTTCACATTCTATGAAAAAAAATGTTCTAAACTCCTCTGTGCAGTATTATCACTTGCCTCGTGTTCAATTTGCAGTTCCTCTGCTTCCTGTCCCAAGTCACTGAAATCGCAATCCTCGTCAAACCACTCCTGGCCGAAGCCTTCATTGTCATTGCCATCCGGCCTTTCGCTTCTTGACAGTCCCAGTTCCACCTTAAAAAAACAAAAACAAAAGAGCAGTAAGGACCAGGAGTTAAAAGAATTTGGACGAAGGTGAACAAAACAGATGAATGCATATTCCTGATTATGGTTTGTCTAAGTTTAACCTAATGAAAGGTCGTGACAAAATATATTCTGTCGCTGGTAAAACAGAGATCAAAACTGCAAACTGACCACAAGATATTGCACGTCTAACTTCATTAACGATTCCCATTAAAAACACTCAACAAAGTTTTAGGTGATTTGTATGCATTTTTTTATGTTGATTACGAAAATGAAAACCGAATTTTTCTATCAATTCTTGAAACACGCTATTTTTTTATCTGAGAGAAAAACTAGACTTTAGGAGCTGCTAGCAGGGTCATATACACTATGGCATGAAGTCAGAGGTACGTATTTTCACGTAAACCGAGTATCGGACACTTAAAATTCTCGAACATTACCCTAGAACTTTTTCCGTTGACGTTAATAAATTTATACAAAATACGGAAATAAAATAAAAGGTTGTTTTTGTTATAAGAACTGCGAATAAGCCAAAAAAAAAAAGATAATACGACCTCATTCAGACGTAGTCTGACGAAAATCATAATATGTTGGTTGAAAAGAGCGTTTATGCGCTGATTCCAACTTCAGGCATTTGAATTATTAAAACTGTATTACATTTACACGAATAGTAATACGTACGACAGAGAACGTGTTTATAATTTCGTACCCTCTACTCTGCTGCATAACATTTTCATCCTGTCACTGTAATTTCACCACCAGAGCTTAAACACTTTCAAGTCAGTTGAGGATTACTCATAATTTAATAAAATTCTGTGTACTTATTATTGTAGGTACGTGGTATCGTCAACAAAGTGCTGTGTAACGGAACCCTGTTTACGACACAGAACAGTGTGCAATGTTTACTCCATTTCACTTTAAAAACAAAAGCTACGTATTTAATTCGTTATGTGCAATTTCAAGAATACGAATACTTATCGGATTAACATTCTTTTCAAGTAATTGCCAAGATTTTAAATCTCATTCTGATGGAAACACAGAAGTAGACCAGAAATAGTTTATATTAGAATGAGAAGTACGAGCCAGTTTCGAAACATCGAACTCTTACATAAGTTTTGTTTTTCGAAGAGTGAGTACACTTGAACCAAAGTAAAACAAAAAAACGCTGAAGCCCATACTGAAATAAAATTTAATTTTATTAGTACTTCGTGTGTTACAGTGGGGGTAATATCGTTACGCCCTCAGATACAGCAGACTCAGGCAAAGTGGTCATGAGTGGCTCAGGGTAAAGTTATAAAAAAAAATATAATATCGACATTTTTTTACAATTTTAATTGCAGAACTTGTCGATAAAAAAGAGCTCTAGAAATGACGCTTTGTTCCGTGACTCAAACACGAAGATCGGAAATTAAACAGCTGTAAGTTGGAACTTTTATTGGACACTACATAATTCTCAAAGTCTGCAGATGGGCACATATTTCGAGATAGGAGGCCGGGGGTTCAATCACAGTTTTCCTTTGCGCTAGTCCAAAGCACAAATATACATCGAGGTAACCTGCGGTGTCTTCAGTTCGTCTTACTCAAATTTGTAATGATTCTTTCACATTACGCAAGTACCCAATATAATCAGGTGACTTATTACACGAATATTTTGGCCAGTGACCTGTCACTGGTTAAGATTTTGATTTCGTGCAGTTCCTGGTACTCACATCTCCCTTGCAGCAGTCAAACCATCCACATCTGCCCATCTCAACCAGTCGCTGGATCGCGCCTCCTGTGCGACTAGCATAGGAACAGTAATAGGAAGTGAATGCCGGATGACTCATTCCATTTCCCCCCCTCCAGTTCCGACCAGACGGACCTGCCACGCAGCCAGCCGGCAGTGGGGACGGGAGGGGTTACAAAAATTGGTTCAATGAAACAAAAATAATTATTTTTAAACTCCAGAGGGCTCCGTTTTCATAAATTTGATTTTACTTAATGCTGATACTGCTCTTTGTACGTATATGATACGTGTTCCTATGCACACTAGCGGAGTTACTGAGGAGAAATTCGACAAATGTTTACATTTCATATTATTATTCCTTACCGGAAAGCTTATCATGGGTCGGATCATCAGACAAGAAAAGCTGAGTATCATAGGAAAAAAATTAATCGTAAACCCATTTTCACCGGGACTCGAACCCAGAAGTTTTCGGGTTTGTGACCTTCGCTCCGTCAATTTCCTCGCCGGAACCGATTTGTTCTTGATTCGGTTCTTCTTTCATGCTTAGTTACCGGGCTACAAAAACCAGCCTGACCGGGAGTAAAACGCAGAACTTTTTTTTTTTTAAATTTTGACCTTTCGAACATCTCTTCCTAGTTTAAGTAAATAAACATTCCAAACGGAGCAAATCTGACACACACACATATATAAACAAAATTTCAAATTAATGTTCAAGATATTCCAAATAATCCGCCTTCCGCCATTAAAATCTTTTAAGATGTTCAAAATAATTGCATGTCAGTTCTTGCCAATTGTATATTTCTGTAAATTCTTCCTTATTTTCCTTCTACAAGAGAACAACAATTTTTGAAATTACATTTTTGTCTTTACAATAATTTCATTTTTAAGTCATAACCTCTCTAAGCATTCTTATAGCGTTCTATCCAACTGTATGAACAACCAGACAACGGTAAAACCTATTTTGACGAAACGTCACATTCAAGAATGTTACGAAAAATTCAAGAAACACGTGTTACAAATGACAAACCGGGCAGAAGGCGGATGCAGATGGCCACATCCTATTTGAAGCCATCATCACGTCTATAGGAACCGAAGAAACATCGGCCATTCCGATTGCAAGATTAAAATTAGACCCGTCTCAATCGCAGTTGAGTAGAGAACCATTTATCTGAAATAAATTGTACTTCTTAATATTTATCTATTTTTATCCCACACGTACACAGCCACTTACCTGAAAAATGTTGTAATGATGCCTCTGTTCCTGAAGTAGCAGCTAATCCACGATAAGATGGTGTCGACAGACAAGATGGCGTGGCGTGGGCAGGCCGGTGGCTGCTAAGATTCCTAGAACACTCATTATGCTCTTCGCTATGAAATATTATGTATTTATGTTTAGTAGAAATTGCTGTTCAAACAAACAGGTCCGAAAGACTGGATTTTTTCTGAATAAAATTATCTGGTTTTGAACGTTTATTTCTTTTAAAATCCTTTTCTTTCTGAACTTGACCAAAATCCTTTCACAGCAGTTCAGTCAGCCCCACTTGGGTCGATTTTCCAAAATTAATCTTAAAATACTAGATGTGAGAATGTAGTACATTCTTCATCGTGCGCGTCTTCGAAAACATGTTTTATGTCCAAATAATTTATTCTTCAATTTTTATATATCAACAGGCACAATAATCACTTAATAAATTCACGTTAAAAACACAGAAAATTAATTACCCGAATATTGGGATTATTAATGAACGCAAACTGCAAATATGCACAGAGCATTTTATATAAAAAAACCAGATGTCTCCGTCTACGACGTCTGACTCACAACCTTATTGGAATGTTATGACTAGAAATTATACATTTATGTCACTTCTGTTGGAACTTAAGACTTGTTCAGTTTCGACTTCCTGATGTCTAAAATAATCTTCACGGTCTCATCAAGCAAAGAGTCGAGCAATCCCAGCGCTATTTCATTTTTCACAGTCACTTCATCTTCGGCATAATCTGTCCATGCGGATTCCTCCTCGTGAGATTCCTTCATGAGAATTTCATCTACATAATCTCTCTTCTTACGACTCCATCGAATTACGAGTTTTTCCTTATACACTTTAGGTGCAAAGCCGAACAAATCCAGCACTTTCTTCAAGATCACTTCTTGCAGCATCTCCTTGGATCTTGGAGGTGGTTTCTTTCTGTTACATGAGAAGGCAGGCCAGTCCCACGGCGCACATGGATTCTCCCGTGCCGAACCATACGCTTCTTTTACTAGATCTTTTGTTAAATCAAAAATCAGTTTCTTAAAAATCCTTCTGCTGGATCTCTTAACATCACTCGAATTAGCCGTATTATTTTCGTCATAAAATACAGGCGGAACTTCTGCATGCTGTATGTCACCACCAGTCGTCTGTAAGGTATGTAAGTGACTGATCACTTCCACAGCGAGGCTCATCAGTTCGTCTGCCGTAGAAGGAATAAAATGCGGTTCTTCTTCGCTCGTCGGGTCTTGCTTGCATGGTGCGGTGGTCTGCCCCGGTGGCGTGTATGGCGGAGGCGGTTTATTCGGGATCTCTCGGATGTAGAGATACGGCAGTTGTTCCTGTGCTTGTTCAAGTTCTTGGATCTGGAAGGGAAAGTATAGTTATTTAAAAAATTACAACCCATGAAAGTTTCATAATGTATATGATTATACTGGCAATATTTCTCAAGTGATTATCACTAACTTCTTGTTCAATTTGTAGCTGCTGTAGACGTAGTTCCGCTGCTTCTCGCCTTGTGTGACTGAGACCATAATCTTCATCAAACCACTCATTATCAAGACCTTCTATCTCTCCACTTGTTGATATTTCTAGTTCCACCTACAACACACAATATCTAAGTTCTGAAATAATATTTGTGTTAATTTATATTTAATTTACATTTGATTAGAATGTTTTTTGTCAAATGGTACAAGGGAACACCCTATAATGCTCATTTTCATCATACAGCAGCCAATTACCTACCTTGTATTTTAGTGAATTTACTTTTTTTTATGATGGCTTTGCTAATACGCATTTTTATATTACAAAATATCTATAGACTTTGGTTTGGTTAGAACTACAAAAATATCCATCTTATGTTGCATCTACATTATCTTCGTTACCACACATTACACTAAGAGTTTTAAAAGTCATTCCTCATAACGTACATCGATTTGTTCCTTTGTTTAGGTTCAAAACAATATGAGGTTCTTTAATTCAAACCCCGTCAATTACTAGACTTTACAAAATCGGCAGTAGTCATTTTATGGCAATAAACGATTTATCATCATCACGATAACACAGAAATACCAACTGTTTACATCTTTTGTAGCGTACTGAATTGTAGATGTGTGAAAAGTACACGGCAATGGGGAAAGTGGTTATGTTTAACTGATAACCTAAAAATGGAATAAATACATTATTAAAGCAAATATAAAGTCTTTACAGCTAATTAAAAATTACTTTCAGTAACATATTATAGAAGAACTGTAACAACAGTGCAATTCAGTGTAAGAACACAGAAACAGAATGTTTGGTTTCGCACGGGCGGTAATATCGGAAACAAAAGCACGCAAGACGAAACACATGTTGCACCCCAGCGTCTTCCCTCGTGATGACAAAAACAATGTTGACGTTGACACATCTGGAGTCTTTCTACACTTACACACACATGCACAGACTTTTAAATTCTAAAACATTTATCAGTAAATATATTTCAGTAGTCAATGAATGCATGAAGAAACGAGCATTGCTACTAGTTTCAGCGGAAATAAATTTAAATAAAATATTCAACACAATTAAGTGATATACATGTACTACAGGTGTGTATTAAATACTCTTGAGAACTATTATGCATTTCAGTTCACTCCCCTACCTTCTGCTCTGTCTCGGTGTCATCTGATACACCAATTACAGGCCTGTCAACTACCTCCCTGATAGGCGAACCTGTTGGCAAAAGAAGAACTTTACTGTGGTTTTCGTTTCTGCCCATAACGTACCCTTTGAAAAAGAAAATTAGAAGGTATTAAGAGGTGACGGGAGGGTGTTAATCTCTAAAACAGCCAAGCGAATTTAAATTCAAATGCTAAGCAGCAATCACGAAAACCCAGTGTTAGCTGAACACACTCTTCTGCATACAGAACTCAACTCAATAAATTAATGAATAAAAGGTGCAGAATTTCTTAACAATATATGCGATGTTGGCTTCTCATGAAGGATTCTGCTCTGTGATGTTACCAATCCCCACACTCTGGCCCACTTTTCCCCTGGTGTCTGTATCTGCACAATGTTGGCAGCCCCAAGAGGAGTCTGGAAAACAAACTCACATGCCTCAAGTATGGCCAGGGGTTTACGCGCCTCTCGCAGTTTATCTCTTTCACAGAAATTGAACAAGGTATATTTACCACTGATAAAATTCCATGGAATAAATAAGAAAGTAAAAATCACATTATATAAAACTCTCATCCGTAGCATATCATACGGGAGTGAAACATGGGTACTGAACCAGACTGCAGCAGATAAAGTGGATCTGTTTGAACGGAAAATCCTGAGGAAAATTTTCGGCCCAACACAAGAAGCAGGTGAATGGAGGATAAAAACTAATCAGGAAATCTATAAATTATATAAAGACATACCACTGTCAGAATTTATAAAAATCAAGAAATTACAATGGACACGTCACCTGGTTCGAATGGACGTCATTCGAATTCCAAAGATGGTATTCAAAGGAAGTGTTGGAAGACCCAGGAACAGACAGGAGGATGCAGTTCAAACAGATACCACACTGCTCCTGAGGATTAGAAATTGTAAGAAGTTAGCGGATGATAGGACCGAAAGGAAGAGGAGAATCAAGGAGGCCATGGACCAAATACGGACCGGAGAGCCATAAAAGAAGAAGATATTTACCTGGATCTGGCGTTTCCTCTGGTGATAAGACATCATATGTGGTAATCATGAAATCCTGTAGTCGTGATTTCTCTCTCGTAGCGGACAGACAGCCAGATGCTTCTGTAAGTATTTCGTTGACACGTTTCCTAATATTTATGCCACATGTGTCTGCAGATCCGAGTGGGGCCGGAGTTCCTTAACAAATATTAAGAGGTAAAAATACAAAATAAGTAAACACGACAAATCACGATCTACATTCACCGTGCCATGCTTTTGAGCTATTATAATTAATTTATATCATATAGTAGTGATTTATTAACAACAAATGTCTTGGAATTGTTTAAGTAGACATGTTTAAGTAAGTTTATAATATTTATTCAATTTCATGCTACTAACTGTATTACCAAATATTCATGAAATCAAAAAACGAATGAAAGAAAAAGAGTTCAGACATATTACACACATGCAATCACAGAAAAAACCCATTACAGAACTGTGACTTCAACTGGCGACACTACATGATAAATAAATTTTCTGTAAGTTATATTTAATTACCTGTAACTGCTACATCTCTGGTGCTTGTCTGTCCATCACACGTACTTGCCAGGTCTTCATATATGTTTATGGAACCATTTATTTTAGATTTTTTAGAATAAAAAAGTGCTGAAGATTCTACCAGAAGTTGTTCAAGTATTGCATTAGTAATATTATCAACCCTGTCCACATTTTTGTTTTCATTTTGCTTGACCGCTGTCACAAAATCATCGTTTTCATAATCGTTATTTAGACTTTGATCGATCAGATCAGCTTCCTTTCTTGTTTCTTCTATATTCTGGCTTTCATATTCATTTTTGTCAAACACTTCCAAGGTACGTTTGTTATTTGCATCCTTTCTACAAAGTACCTTCAAGGACTCATTTAAAAGTTCATCAAAAATTACATCAGTAATTCTTTCAATCTTATCACAGATTCCTCCATCAGCTTTTTCTTTCATCTTACTTACATCACAGTTACGATCATCCTCCTGAAATAGCATGTCAGAAACATCTGAAACAGCATTTAAACTATTAGATACCTCTGTTTCCGGAACGTCTTCGTCCGATTCGGAAATTCTATCTTTTGTTTTGGGAATGTTTTCTATTTCTTCTTCAGCCTCAGGGATTTCTTCTACCACAAAATCTTCTTCAATATCGTCAGTAATGCTGTCAGTACTGAGCTGAACAGAGTCTTTCAGCGAGCTAACGACGTTAGAAATAATTCTTTCTTTGCTGAGATTAAGGGTGGAGTGTGACCACTGTCCAGCATCCTGCAGATCTGCTTCCAGAGATTCAACCAAGTCCTTATTCTCCTCTATTGTTGTCACAGTCTTGCTTACTTCTTCTGGAATTGACTCCACTTCCTCCGCAGTTTCAGTTTCCTGAACTGACAACTGTTGTTTTGAAACTAACAGTTCCTGAATAACAGACTCTGACTCAGGTATTTCTTGAACTGTGGGTCCAAAATTCTGGTTGTGAATTGCAGAATTTAATTCTGAATCATTCTCCTCAACCTGTACTTCTTCTTCTATTACAGACACTATTTCAGATTGTTCTTCTAATACATCTTCCAGTTCTTTCTCATCCTCCAAGTCATCATTCTTCAAAGTACTACTTAAACACGTTTCTATACTTGAATTATAAGACGTACTACTCTCATTCATTACCGCCTGTAAAGATTTTCTGAGCTGTATGCTTACATTTGTATCATCAGATGAGTCATGAAATTCATGATTCCTTATATCTGCCAGCACACTTGTGTGCTGTGGCTGGTTACCACTTCTTGACGTCGACTCACGATCGCCTCTGCTTGAGTTCTTTTCTTTGTATTTGTCCTGTACCTGTTCAAACAATTTTTTCCCTGATGATGTAGTACTTGAATCACCGGCTGGTTCTGCATCATGTTGACTGTGATCCTGAATCCAGGGTTTTCCAGAACGACAAGATGTGTCAGTAGAATGATCCTTTTTATCCTCAAGCTCTTTCTTGGTTTTGTCAATGTATGCATCATAAGCCTGTTAGAAAAATTATAACACCCATTAAAATGTTTTACCATTCTTATAAATGACCAAAAACACGCACATTTAAATACAATTACAACAAACTTCAGAAAGCCTTCCTTTTGGCATGCTGTTTTAGCAACCATTGAAAATAATTCAGTGAAATATTAACCAATAGAGAGAAAGTAGTAATGAGTATTAATAAAGTCTTCTTGGGCTATCAGCTATGTTAGATGGTGATTAATCGCTGACGTTTCGAGGACCATCTCTGTCCTCATTTTCAAGGCTGTTGACTATGTGGCTCATAGCGCAAACTAGTTTAAACTAGTTCTAAGAGCCAAGAAGACTTTATTAATGAAAGCCGCCTTTCAAAGCATGGCAAGTTTGTGTCTGGACCGCTCGTATCAATCCTTACTTGAATCTGCTTCAGAAGTGACTGTTCCTTAATTCTCAGCCGTTCCTTCTTCCTCCTCTGTTGCTCTTTCCAAAGCTTCTCTGCTTCACTCTTCTTCTTGTGAAGTTGTTTATGAAGACCCCTCACTCGACTCTCCAAATCACTTAGCTCAATACCAGCATCTAAATAAATACAATTATTCAAGTATTAGTTTATGCATTTATATTATACATTGCCATGACGGAAACAGTTGTTAAGATCCTCTGAAATTTTGGTCAATATCTACTAGACTACACAGTGCAATAATCCAGAAGACAACCATCTTCATGTCTTAAATATCTTGGTATCTTGTTATGACCTTGGATTGGTGTTTCTGTGGGTCTTTGCTATAGTATGTAGACACTAATTATTTTCTCTCATATCAAATTTCCTATTCTCTAGTGAACCTCGTATCAGTCAACTAATTTAATTCTGTCTGACTGATGTATTTAAATATTCCCTTAACTTGGTTTCAAAGAAATGAAAGGCAAAGCAGGCCTGGACTACTGCAGCCAATCTACCGTTATATATCCCACTTTTCATAACAATTAACCTACAAAAATTCAGATAATTTAATTTGTCTTCTGATCGTGGTTTTTGCGCCAAATCCAGTTTCACTTTTGGCTCTGTTCTTAATTTGGCAGTAACTCCACAGGAAACCAGAAGTACAAAGCTATCATGTGACAGAAACTTACAAGCTATGAGTGAAACAGAAGTTTCAACAAACCTTGTGAAATAGCTAAGTACCAAATTTTAACTTACGAGAGGACAAATTTATCTATAGTTACTTTTGCTTCTGGCAAGTATCATTTTTAGAACCATAAATCTACCCATTACTTATATATTGTATTTTATACATACCAGTCTGTGGAGAAGAGTATGTTATTTCTTTGGAGCCATTAAATTTCTCTTCAGAATTTTCTGCATGTACTTCGTGCTTCAGAGAAGTATTAGGAGCTTCACTCGAAGAAATCTTCAGATCCTCTGTCCCTGCCAAGTGTGGTAGTATTGTAACAGAATGTTCTGACGTAAGATCTGATTCTCTCTCGGTAGACGGGAGTGACGTGTCTTCTGCCACGTTGCCACTGAAATGAAACAGAAAAGACTCCATAGGATGCGGACGGTGGAGCAGTCAGAGAGTAAATAAAATTAACGTGAATTTTCTTACCTCATACTTTTACAGCTGTCACCATTCAGGCCACTAGAACTTCTGTGGTCCTGAAAGTATTTAATTGGATTAGCTCTCAGATGAAATACACAAAACTCCTATTTTGCTTCCACACAGCCATGTTGCAATGCTACATATGGATGTATTCAAAATTTATCTACCTCTTGAAAGTTTCTTCCCCTCAGCTGCACAGATTTCAGGTATGATTTTATTAAAGTCTTCTGCTGCTTAAGTGCCATTTTTCTTCTGACTGTTGCTTTCTTTAGTTTTTCATACTCTCTGAAAGAAACACAATTACATACAAAACATCATCATTCATTATATTCAAAACTCAATTTGTGACCTATTTTCCTTCAATTGTAAAAAACAGATTACCATTTCCATGTGCATGTAGCTGGTTTAATTTTATGTCATGCCGCTGGAGGCGAAACAACATTCATACCGTCTAATTTAACATAAACATGACAACTTCTGAGGTGGGGCCAACACTAGTGTTATTTAATGAAGAACCTGAGGTAAAATGATGATATGGTGACTGTGCAGATTAGTAGTTCTAGATAGACGGATACTGAGCGGAAAACTTCTGAGACAACAATAATGACATAATCATCATAATTACTATTGCCACTACTGTTGCTGCCACCAGCTTAATAATTCTGGAATGACTGGCCATAATTGTAACAGTAAACTCAGTTAAGGAAACGTAAGTACAATGTGTTACCCACCGTTTATTGTCTTGCCTTCCTTGTTCAAGATTATATAATAAAGACGAATATTTTTTCTTTAATCCAGGTACAAGGTGTTCTTTGCCGTTTTCCTTATGTTCGCTGCAGAGAAAATAAACATAAATATGAAACATGGAGAACTTGGACAGGAAAATTCACCAACTAACAACACAAGGTCTTCATGCACATGTGTCTCATTCATATTATTATACTGCATTAAATGAATGTTATTATGGGCTGTTGGAGACCTAGATCAAAAAATAGTCTGCATTTCTGTTCATTATAGACTGATTACTGACCGCAATTTGGGAAGTAAAGAAGGCGGTCCCATGTCATAGATTTACGGCATGTAAAAGAACCTTACGAGCATGATGCGAGATGTTTTGTAAGCAAATTTCAGTGGCCATTTCTCACTCAAATCTCCTGATTAACTGCTAGATGGCTCTAGCAGACAACTCAGGATTGAGTAGAAATTGTGCAGTCAGTGGACTGGTCACTCACTTTTCATAAATGCGCACTTCAAGACCAAGAAACCTCTGAAAAGGAGGTGGTGAAAACCCACAACCAGGTTGTAGAGCCAAGAAATAACAACAACCGACCGCAATTTATAAACACAGGTTTGAAGAACCTATTTTTGTAATAATACTTTTTTTTAGAAGTATATCTAGTGCCTGTTTTTGTAAGAGTGATCAAAACAGATTATTTCAATTTGCGTTCTTATACGTCACTTACCGTATTTCCGCCAGCAGCAGTTTCATATTTGTGCTGGTCCTTTCTTTGAGAATGTTTAATTTTTTATTCAGCAAATCAACATGCTTTTGAGCAGTTTCATTTTCTTCGAGAATTAATTTATCAATCTGGAAGGAAAGCAAGTTGGGAAATAAGCGATACAACAAGGAAAGAAGACAGGGATGCTGCTAATACAGCAACACTAGTATTTACAAAATAAATCCTAGTAAGAATTGTTATACCACCAAAGAACATCATTCACTTCAATTTACTGTTCCATTTCAGATTCTGTGAGAAAGGCTCAGATGGAAATCTTGCTAAGACACTGTCAGCAACAAATAAAGTTCTGGAACTGCATTTAAACTTGCAACTCTACTATTTATCATAAAACGAGTACAGCTAGATATTGTCTAACTGTGGAAAGTCTCCGTATTTCACACGATAAAACTCATAACTAGAATGAGTATTGGCTATAAATCGTTGCAACCAAAAACAAAACATGTAGCCTAACCAGATATCAGACTTCTGCATTCCATCCGAACAGGTCTGAAAAATTTTGATACACGATAAGCTTATAATCACTGCCAATTTCATTATCATGAACCTAATCCTCTGTCTAAATTTATTCTTAAGGTGCAATATTTTAAAAACTGGTCGTGTCTTGAAGTTTAAACCACATGATATTCCAATTATTTTCAACTTGCCTTTAGTAATGACTCCTTGATTCTTGACAGCTTTTTAATATGATCTGTCTCATTAATGAATATATCTGAGAAACTGGATGTCGGTGAGAAACATAAATCTTGTAATTCCTCACTCCTGGTTCTCACAACTGAAACATTTTTAAAACGAGAGGACGTTGAAACAACAAAGACATGCAATCAGGGCTGAATTGAGATCACTGTAGGCTATATGCACTTCTGGTTCGTAGCCTTTGATGGATTCATTTTTATGGGTAAAATGGTGATCAAAATTAATACGACAGTAGGTAAGAGTAGTTCAATAAGTCATGGGAAAGTAACAATAAATGCTATCTCTGGTATACAATTATAGAATAATTGATTCTAGCAACAGCAGAACACACTGAAATCAATATGAATTCCAGAAACACACAGAATTTATTGAATATAAACTGAATTAAGAATAACCATGGAAATTTCTGTGCATATGTGCACAGGAAAAAACTTAAGAACTGTAAAAAAAAATGTTTTATAAGAAGCAAACAACATTTAAAACAATCACAGTTGTTCTAAGTCTTACAACTTAATATAAGGGGTGGGAAAAACAAAAATGTATCACAAACTTTTAAAAGTGAAGGGGGAAAAAGAGAACTCTGAGAGAAAGCAGCAAAAACAATGTTACTTATTAGGACAGATAAAATCAAAGCAAGTTTCAGGTTATGAAGATGAAATAGTGGTAAGAAGGTAAAGAAATCCAAGTGCTTGTAAAAGGGAGGTGCAATACCTGGATTTTTTCAACAAACTGTACTGCGCCTGGATGCTACAGTTATAACAAAAGGCACAAAAAATTCCTTTTCTGCACAACGTAAAGAGGCAACTAAATTTACTGTCACAAAATTATTTTCTAATCATTCTAACCTTCCTCTGAAATTCCCTCACTAATAGTCTGCAGGGACAGTTCAGGAGTGCTGTCCACCACGTTATCCGCAACTGTCCTCTCCACATCCATTACTTCCTTACCGATATTTGAGAACGCCTCTGCTTGAATATCTGAACCACGCTTGTAGCTCACATTTGCAAACCTTTGCTATTAACAAAAAAAAAAAATAATAATTTCCAAGCTTAACAGACAATGAACTGCATAACAAATCCTACAGAACTTATTAACAGATAAGTAATAACATTGAAGAACTAATTATAATGCATCGGAACAATATCCCAAGTATACAGTGAAGCTTTTGTAACAAATGAAGTTGGTGAAAGACTCTCGGGTCAGTTTCCCGTCGGCGAGCGCGCAACAAAGAATCGGATTTGTTACCCATCAGCCCTGAGGATGAGAGCAGAGATTTTTCTCAAAACGTTGGCAGCAGATATGGTTTATTCACCATTCAGCCGCCTGACACGGATTGTAACCCGAGAGTCTTCCGTCAATAACCCAAGTTCCGTCACACACGATAATGTTTATTCAGTGTGTGATAAATGTGGAATGGACCCAATATTTCTTGCTTCATAGTAAACAATTACCTGGGCCTGCAGCAAGGATTCTGCAGCACTGTTGTCTTGCTGTTCTACAGGCAACGGAGCATGATCAGCTGCTACCTCAGATATTATGACATCCTTATTAAAATTACGTACTGGCTCACTGGAATTTCTTACCGATGTCTGAGTTAATAGTTCGTTATCCTCTTTTCCTGTTATTTCTGTGATTTTTTCATGTTTAATATCCCACTTCCTGAATTTCTCAGTTAATTCCTTCATCACATGTTCTTTCCTTTTTTCTCTTGCTTCTTGCAATACCTTATCGTCAAGAGCAACCATTCTTCTTGTATGTTCACTTTCCCATATCAGCTGTTCAACTGAAACAGACTGTAAAATGGCATCTGGTGCACCTCGGAAGGAAACTGAGTTGGCAGGTTTCTCAATATTTGCTTCCTCAAATAAAATGTATTTGTTTGTTGGGGCTGGACTCTGGGGACTGCCACATTTCACTGGATTCAATGTGTCTGGGACCATTCCATTCTGTGAACTCAATGGTCTGACTTTAGCAGGGCTACTGAACGCTACATGTGGCTCGGATAATGACAACGCTGGCTCATATTTAATGACTGTTTGATTGTGGATAGAGGAGGCTTCTTCCCCTTGCTTATCTTGGCCCATAACTGTTTCTAAGATTGGTGTTGAAGCTTTTTTTTGTGGTTGCTTTGCCTTATCATTTTGCATGAACTGATGAATTCTGTTAGGTGTCTGTGTCTGAACATCAGACTTCAGTGTCTGGATCGTCGGCTCGGCTTGTACTTGTTTGTCTTCCACCCTCCGCTGTGATTGCTGCATTTCCTCACTTTCTTGAACAGCCTAAAAAATGAAGTGGAAATTACATGCAATAACTAAGTTGTTGCCGAATATTTTCACTGCCATCAAGTTGCTTTACCAAACTAAACATAAATACATCTGATCAGGCCTTTTGACAGAAACTGATGAAAACAGACGTAAATATATCTTGAAAATACGGATGCCTGACACAGTTCTGTAGTGTCGATGAAACCAATCATACAGCGTTTACATTTATTTCACTGCGTGCAATGCTGAATAAGGCAAATTCATAACTCAGTTACACAGTAAATTCATAGCACTTCTATGATGTAAGAAAGTATGTACACATAAATTCACCTGCATATTCTGGGCAACAATAGTTTCAATCTCTGTCAGACATTGTCTAGACTCCTCCACTGAATCCAGTCGATTCATTTCTACTTGGAACAGCAAGTGGAGGGCAGACGGATGAAGCTACAAAGAGAAAATATATGAAGTAAAAAAAGTATAATTTAATACAATAAAATATAATAGAAACTATACATGCAAGTTAGATATCTTTACATGACTCTTTTTGTGCTAAAACTAACCTTCCCTTTGAAATAATGGTACCACTTCACAATTGTTCTATAAGTTCTTACTGCATGTACTCCAACCATAAATTTGGACTGTTGACTTTGCCAAAAAAAAAACATATTAAGCTGCCTTAAACATAAAGAATGCATCCTCTGAAGTACAAAAGAGAGGGATAGATAGCAAACAGTACATGAAAGATCATGTTCCACTGTAACATTAACTTTTGGGCCCATGGAACGTCTATATGTATGAAGTCAAACTCCTTTAAACTTGGCTTTGAATTCTGAAACGTCCATTAATATTTACTGATTGTGATTTAGGAAGTGCACACTTAGAGTGTAACAGAATAACAAGTGTTTCATATTGCTACCACAAACCACATAAATGCATTTAAGTAAAGATGGCAATTTTGCTGATCCAATGTAGTTCTACATATTTTCTTTTAGAAAATATATTGAATATTGTATAATTTATTCTTAAAAATTAATTTCAAGTAGGGATTCCAATGCATTACTGGGGATACTGGATACTGGGAACGACCCATTCTTCAAGTGCCTGAGCAATGCGAGTCCCAACTTTCATTGGCTCGATCTATAGACATTCAGTAGAACTCCTTGGACGAGGGATCGGCCCGTTGCAAGGCCTCTACCTGTACACAGGCCAGCGCAACACAAAAAAACATCCATGGCTTGAGTGGGATTCGAACCCACGGTCCCAGCAACCAAGCGGCACAAGGCCCACGCCTCAGACCACGCAGTCACTGTGGACCCCTCCAATGCATTACGAGTAAAACTTACATACCATTTTTCTGGTTTCCATGATATCACCTACACTTCTACTACCAGGCAGTCTTGAGGGTTCACCCACAAGAGCATTAATCTTCTCATCATTTGTGTCCTTCACACCAGATTTCACTATATTCTGAAAACTCTTTGTGGTCTCCTTCTCTCTTTCAGCTAAATTTGTGTAAAACTGCTCTCTGTGGAGGATTCCCCCATCTTGATTATTTTCTGTGGGTCTAGAATCACTGCACTCTGGAGAAGAAGCTTGTCCCTTCTTGTAGGCTTTATGTATGACACCAGCAGAGGAAGGAGTCTGATCCACATGTTTACGCCTAACATGATGACTATCCCACGTGTCTGTGCCAGAGGTCTCTACTTGACAAGAAGCATCAGCTGATACTGCTGAAATCCTTTTGTTTTTACGTCTTAATTCTACATTTGGGGCAACCAGTCCATAATGTCTGTATTTTACTTTCTTTGGCATAACTGCTGGTCTCCCTGCAGAAAACAAGGGCCTAATGTTTCTTTCAAAGTTCATTTTTTTAGAGTTCTGATATGACCTTACAGAAAATGGAGATCTAACAATTATTTCTGAGTCCAATTTATTCCACTGCACTGGTTGAACTCTACTGGGCAACACTTCCCGAGGTGACTTCGTATTTACACGCTTCTTCCATGTAACTCTGCTCTCATCTGAGCTAGAATTGTACCCAGCCTCAGCAGCCGAAGAGGTCACAGACAACCTGTCTTCACACAGCGTGCTCTCATCGTCGGTCACGAGGGACAACAGTCCATTCTCTCTCTGGACTCTCGGCTGCTTTCTGGTCTTCTCCTTTGAAGCATCTATAACTGGCAGTGCCTGTCCCGGATCAAGTTTCACATCTCTTTGTCCTGGTTCTGATTGTTTGTTTATAAGTTCACAATTTGCTTGCACCCAATATGGCTGCCTTGGTCCATATCTTGACAGAATAGTGTTCTGAACTGCGGTCATCACATTGTACGGGCATGGTTCTACATACATTGGTTTCAGCCATTCTGATAAAGGATCATCAGTAGGAAACTTGGCTATGTTCGAACACCTTTCCCCATCCTGCAGTTTCTTATTTCTTCTGATCTGAAACATAAACATTGACCTTAAATACTCACAGATGCATGCATGTGTATAATATGGATAACAAAACACTTGGCATGGACACAATATAAATTACTTTCATGGTACTGAGTTTGCTGTGGCTATGAAAAAAGTTTTCATAAAAATAATACATTCTATTACATTTTCTGTTGATACATAAAATGTACTTACATCAATAGACGGTCTATCTGGAGGCATTAAGTCTAAAGCTTTGGGTACAGAGCATTTAAAATCTGCATGTTTATGAACTGTCACTGTTTCCACGTCACGCGACTTCCGCGTCTTGTGACCTCGGAAGGCAGCTTGTATCTTCGTGGCTGCCAGTTCTTGCTTCTTTCCAGTCTCCATGTATTCTTTCAAAGCTTTAGTTACCTCCTTTCTCACTATACGAAGTATTAAAGCATCAGTATCCATGTTCAAACTCAACATTCAAATAAAACAATATTAATCAACAACAAGAAAGACACAACCAAACTGTAGAATAAAGATTGTTTACCCATTATGTCACGTTTCTTCTCATCAGTTTCTTTGGGTTCAACCTGCTTCTTTATTACAAATGGAGTCTTAGGCTGAAGATTTTGTGTAGACTTAAACTTGATGTTAGAATCAATGGCAGTTTCCAGATTCCTATCTTTCGGAATTCTGGCCATTTGTTTTTTCACTGTAAAAATCAAATAAGTTCTGTCAGATTCATCATCAGAAAAGATAACAGAACTCCAAGCTGAAAACAAAAAAGTCTGACAAAAATAAAATAGTATTAAAATATATTAAAATTGTCCGTCAATCACAATAAAGTAATATAAGATAATTAAATGGTTAAATTATTATCCTTTGTTCCGTATCGAGTACTCGATTTACATGTGGAACATTCTCGACATGTTTCGGCTTTCATAGAGCCGTCATCAGGTGTATGTTATAAACTCTTAATTCAATTACTAATTTTTAATTTTCTTATCATTTCTTCGTTTTTCACATTGTATCAACATTTGTTGTTGTGTTATATATCATTGATACAATCGTATTGTCGGAGTGATGTTAATGCTGCGTATATTGGTCAGAGAAGTAATATCGAAGTTGTAAGAGGAGAGATCAGAAGTACATCGTATCGGAGCGAGGTTGGTTATCAAATATCTTAAAAATAAATAGGAAAGTTATGAATAACAAACACGTTTGCTAACAAAATTTGCTAAAATAACACAAACAGTATTTTAATCCCAGGATGTGGATGACAGTTACACCAGAAAATCCACTGAAAAGGCAAAATTCTTCATACTTTCCATTTTTTAACCTCAAACAGGGCTTCTCATAATTTATGGAGTGCTACAATGCAGATCCAAATTCAGAAATAGCTTATTACCATGATCATGATAAAATTAATCTACTTATTACCCTTGTGTGCTCCATGCTTTCACTTTTAATTAAATATGTCAAGACCGTCCATACTGCTGCCTTCTCTTAAATATTATTTATATTCCTGTATCAAGCTTCTCTCCTGTTCCTGTGCCTCTTATCATCCTTGAGTGGCATTTTATGCACAATCCAGCTTCACATGTGTCGCGCTAGCATACCGCTAAACCATCAACTGCAGAGTTAAAAATCCAGTCAGTAGCTCCATAGTACGGGGATTTAAATTACCTTTTCTCATATAATTGCGGCTGAAGCAGAATGATAAAATTGGTAACCGTGTTTCGAGTCAGATTCACTTGCTGTCAAGAAGCCAAACCAAAACAAGTCGCACTTACCTCCAGATGTCGTCTGTGTCTCAACATTATGCGAGTGTGGAGATTTATGAAGGCAAGCTGCACCTTCCATCTCAAGCGGCGGAATTACTGGTTCCAAACTGAAATCATTAGATACTGCTTCTGCAACACCATCATTCAAAGGATGTCCTCCTCTCTTCAACTGATAAAGTTTACCACCAAAATTGGGAAGTGGCAGTTCTGAGGAAGCTGCTGTATCCTGAGAAGAGAGTTTTAGTCCATTAGACATGGCAACACAAATGGCAGTTAACAGATTATTTCAGAATATTCTATTTTTCAACACTTTATAATTAATATAAATACATATTCCTGTGTTGTACTCCTCCCCCAATATTGTCAGGGTGATTAAGTCGAGAAGAATGAGATGGGCGGGACATGTAGCGCGCATGGATGGGACAAGAGGTGTGCACCAGGTATTGGTTGGGAAGCCTGAGGGGAAGAGACCACTGGGGAGACCTAGACGTAGATGGGAGGATAATCTCAGGCGGGATCTATGGGAGATAGGAGTCGAAGGAGATTGGATTTTGTTGGCCCAGGACAGGGTCCGGTGGAGGACTTTGGTTAATTCGGTGATGAACCTTCGGGTTCGGTAAGCCATCTAGTTAGTTAGTTACACATTCCTGTGTTACTTTATTTCCATTCCTGACCATTTCTACAGTAAAAAAATTGTATATATTCACAAGATATCATTAGCTGTGTCATGTAAGCAAAGTTATTTGCTGAAACAAAAGTCTATAAATTCAAAATGATCTTACCCTAATTCTCAGAGTCACATTTGTTAAGTGGCTTAGGCTTTCTTCTTTATCTTCTTTATTTTGCTGATTATCAAATTCTGCTAGCCCTTTCTGCAGAATGGCTGCCATATTTTTAAGCTTAATATTAATATCACCATTAACTTTATTTTCAGTCACATCAACAGGTTTCGGTTCTTCCCTTGAATTTTGTTGGCAAAGGGCTACGGAATCTGTTAACTGAACAAAGCAATACATAATGAAAAATCAGCATTTCTGAAAATTCTGTAAAAAGGAACAAATAAGCAGAGAAACATACAAAATATTTGGGCACAACTTTCGAAACTTGGGCGTAAAATAAACACTGCTTCATAAGTTTAATAAGTTTGTCCCACTATACGCCATGTAGGCGTTTTGGGGGGGAGTGGAGGTATAGCTCCTCTCTTCTTTGACCTCGGCACTAGATGGGGGTGAGTGGTCAGCATCACGCCCCGGCCGGCTTTACCCCCGGGAAAGGACCCCGGTACCCATTGTATAGGAGGCTGGGTGGGCCCCAGAGCCGGTCTGGACGCAGAGGCTAGAGGAAAAATCCTCTCCCCCCATCGGGGATCGAACCCGGGTCGCCCAGCCCGTAGCTAGTCACTATACTGACTGAGCTATCCCGGCTCATAAACACTGCTTCATATCCAATACATTAATAGGATACATGGCAAATGACATTACACAATATTTTTGAAATTATGTACAGAGTAAATATTTGAAGTATCTGAACTCAGTAATGTGATGTCTGGCTCACAGCCATTCTGCATAATTCTCACTCATCAGATATCCTATTTAATAAATCAATCATGCTTCCATTTGTCATCACTTTAAAATGAATATAAATACATATAGCTGTGTTATTATAATCCCATTCCTTACGATTTTTACAGGAATTATTTTTATGGGCATTTACAAAAAAAAATAGCATTAGTTGCATAGCGCAGGTAACATTATTTGTTAAGACAGAAGTCGATAAAGTCAAAATGATCTTACCTTACTTCTCAGAGTCACGTTTGTTAAGTGGCTTAGGCTTCCTTCTTTATTTTCTTTATTTTGCTGATTATCAAATTCTGAAAGTCCTTTTTGCATGATGGATACCATATTTTTAAGTTGAATATTAATATCTTCATTAACTTTGATTTTTGTCACAACAGCATCAACACATTTCAGTTCTTCAGTTGCATCTTGTTCAAATAGGCCTACAGAATCCGTTAACTGTACAACGCAATACGTAAAACTAATTAGCTTTACTGAACATAAAAAAACAATTACAGAAATATAGAATATTCTTAAGATTTCTGTCTTCTGGGTTGTTGCGCCGTGTAGTCTGGTCGATGTTAACCAACGTTTCTGAGGTCATACTGCCTCCGTCATCAGGGCGACGACCAGACCACACATCGCAACAACCCAGAAGACAGAAATCTTCATACTCATCGCCCTATGATGGAGGCAGTATGACCTCTGAAACGTTGGTAAACATCGACCAGCCTACACAGCGCAACCCAGAAGACAGAAATCTTCATACTCATCGCCCTATGATGGAGGCAGTATGACCTCTGAAACGTTGGTAAACATCGACCAGCCTACACAGCGCAACCCAGAAGACAGAAATCTTCATACTCATCGCCCTATGATGGAGGCAGTATGACCTCTGAAACGTTGGTAAACATCGACCAGCCTACACAGCGCAACCCAGAAGACAGAAATCTTCATACTCATCGCCCTATGATGGAGGCAGTATGACCTCTGAAACGTTGGTAAACATCGACCAGCCTACACAGCGCAACCCAGAAGACAGAAATCTTCATACTCATCGCCCTATGATGGAGGCAGTATGACCTCTGAAACGTTGGTAAACATCGACCAGCCTACACAGCGCAACCCAGAAGACAGAAATCTTCATACTCATCGCCCTATGATGGAGGCAGTATGACCTCTGAAACGTTGGTAAACATCGACCAGCCTACACAGCGCAACCCAGAAGACAGAAATCTTCATACTCATCGCCCTATGATGGAGGCAGTATGACCTCTGAAACGTTGGTAAACATCGACCAGCCTACACAGCGCAACCCAGAAGACAGAAATCTTCATACTCATCGCCCTATGATGGAGGCAGTATGACCTCTGAAACGTTGGTAAACATCGACCAGCCTACACAGCGCAACCCAGAAGACAGAAATCTTCATACTCATCGCCCTATGATGGAGGCAGTATGACCTCTGAAACGTTGGTAAACATCGACCAGCCTACACAGCGCAACCCAGAAGACAGAAATCTTCATACTCATCGCCCTATGATGGAGGCAGTATGACCTCTGAAACGTTGGTAAACATCGACCAGCCTACACAGCGCAACCCAGAAGACAGAAATCTTCATGCTCACTGCTGTGAAAACCTCAAATCTTACATAGAATATTTTGTACAAAAATAAAAAGACACAGCGTGATTAATTTTACGACAAACAAAATATTTACGCCAGTCCATACAGCATTAAATATTGTAAAATGGCAAGTAGAATGCATAGAATAATAAATTCCTTGTGGGGAGAAATTGCATAAAAGAGCAATACACCACAAAAGGACTACTCAAATGGTTTCAGTGGTGACAATACGAACCCTCAGGTCCACAATATCAATCAGTTAATCAGAATTTAATTTAATCTCACCTCAGATGTTTCCAGCTGCTGCAGCTGTTTCTGTCTTGCTCTTCTAACATTATTTTGCACTATTTTTAACTGCTTATCTCTAAGCTCTTTCAACCTCTTCTTCTTTGCTTCCTCTTCCTCTCGTTTTTTAATCATATCCTGAATCGACTGCTCCTTCCGTTTCTGTATCTGTTGTTTCACGTATTCCCTCCGAGCTCTCTTTCTGCTTAAAGACTCAGGAGAAAGATTCTGTTCATCAAAATCATCTTCATCATCACTGATACCCATGTCTTCTTTGCCAATGACTCCGAAAATATCTATAATTAGAACAAAATTAGTTTTCTTGGTGACGCATTCCCGACCTGCCCAATGAATACTCAGTTCCTACAATTTCCTGCTACTAAATTTAGTATTCAGAAATGAACTCTAAGAAAAAAGGGATTTAAGGAAGATGTTTCGACCTACAAAACAGGAACAAATAGAAGACTGGAGAAAACTTCTTAATCTGTATTCCTTAAAAAATATTATTAGGGAACAGATGAGCACAGCGTGTAGCATGCATGGTAAAGATAAGACACACATACAAAATATTAGTTAGAAAACCTCGAGGGAAGAGACCTAGGATAAATGTGAGAATAATTATAAAGCTAATCTTAAATAAATACGATGCAGATAGGATTTATCTGGTTTAAGACAGGATCAAGTTGTAAGCTCTTGTGAATACGGATTCTATAGAAGACTATTTCTTTAACAGCTAAGAGTCTCAAGATTTACCCTGATGCAAGGAGTTAAGTAAAATACGTGACTATCGATTGTGCTCATGTACGGAAACAAGAGGTCGCCTACCCCACGCAGGCTAGCACAGTAAGCACAGACAATTCACACACGCTGAAATGTTAAATGGAGAATCAGTGCCAGGTTCTGTGCGTTTAAAAACTAATCAACTTACCATTTTCTGCCTGCTCAGTGTCGTGTACCACAGTAAAATCTTCCATCTTCACTTTCAAATTTACTTCTGGAACAAAAATATATAGCAGTGCTTAAAGATTAAAATCATCCGTTATCTTTGAGTAACTAAAGTATATAACACAATTTAATGCAGTGAAAATAGTGATTTAAAAAAACTGTCAACAAACTAGCACTCGTCTATTATAAATACAGATTACAGTATATGCACCACAATGTACAACAGTTAATAGTTAAACATGCTTTAATTAAAAACATACTCAAAACTAGGATAAACCACAATCTTCAGAGTTGAAGAGAGTCCTCCTTGACAAGCTAACAGTTTGTCAGCTTGTCATGAAATTCCCTGTCTCTTATGCAACCCAAAGATGCATCACCATATTTTTAAGTCTTCCGTTGAGTTATATTATCTAAACCTGTTGAATCCATAAACATGGTTGCGTCTAATTTTTACTCTTTACACCAGGGCGACAAAATAGAGGGGGTAAGATGGGTAGGGAACGGCAGATATGTACACAAGCATAACAAATTTTACACGAAAAACGCGAATAGAAAACTAGGCGTAGGCAGAAGGATAATATTAATATTGGCCTTAAAGAAAACAGTGTGAGTGTTAGATAAAATACAACCGACCAGCTGAGCTAATATAAGCTTCTAAATGAGGTATCCGCCCAGTGGAATTTAGAAACTAAAGTAACAGAGTGACAAATCCATATGATGTATTTAAAAAAAAACATATATAAAGTTTATTTCTTATCAATCTTGTTACGCAAGTATGGAAATATTCATTCAAGTTCATCCTCGTAGCGTCACCGAAGTGGGACTTTATCACCAGTTTGTAAGTTACGGGAACAATTGTACTTTTATTTGCACAAACACTTGGTAGGAGACCCAACCGTGCGACGGGACTAAAGTTCTCCACCACATGTTCCGGGATCAGAGATAATTCCCTAAGGACACAGAGGACATAAACCAGTTCTCCTCTTCCCTTCCAGGTAAATGCGGAAATCTTGCGTTAAAACGTGCCACGAACGCTAACTTCCACATCCTTTCTACCTCATCAATTAATCGCCCTATTGCTCCACGCTACGTAGCATCATTAAACCTAAAAAAATCTAACGCCTTGGAAATGACATCTGGCACGGTGCATATTCTAATTTGCTGCTTACAGAAAGTGCACGGTACTAGCAACAAGACAGACGACCCAACTGGGAATGTGAAAGTAATGCATTTGCCCGATATACTACTATGACAATCCATCTACGTACAACCAGATCACAGATTTAATCCATATCGAATTTCGATTGTTCTGGGTATGAGTCCTAGATAAAATAAACGACTTTCTCTTAAAAAATAATGCATTTATTTCACCATAAATCTAAGCTACAACGCGGTTTTTATTTGATCGTTCTGTTTCAAAAATAGAATTACAATCTCTGACACGAATTGTGCAACTAAAAAATCGGCCGAGTTAAAGAACATTACGACCAATCATATATGTCCATGTGTGCTATATGTCCGGCCAATCTCATTTTAGTAGATTTGGCCGCTTTAATAACATTTGTAGAGGAGGCTAGGGCTCGATTTTGGGCTGTTATGCCATAGTAGTAGTAGTAGTAGTCGTAGTAGTAGTAGTCGGAGTAGTAGTAATATTTAAGAATCCAGTCCGTACCGCGAAGAAAACACTACACTTCACCATGACAGAGATCAACTGGTTAACGCTGTTCAAGGAAATAATCGCTGGTTACGATGAGAATAATCTGATTAATATTTAAGAATCCAGTCCGTACCGCGAAGAAAACACTACACTTCACCATTATAGAGATCAACTGGTAAACGCTGTTCAAGGAAATAATCGCTGGTTACGATGAGAATAATCTGATTAGTATTTAAGAAGAGGAGGCTAGGGCTCGATTTTGGGCTGTTACGCCATAGTAGTAGTAGTAGTAGTAGTAGTAGTAGTAATAACATTTGGCGAGCAGTACAATTGACGACTCTCGGTATGAAATTTTCTATAGTCTCCTGTTACTTAATATTTCTTACGGCACTCCTTTTATCAAACTCCATCCATCCATCTACTTTCCTTACGGCGAGACACCAAGTTCGATACCAATACAAAACAACAGATAAAATTATAGAAATAAATACAAGGCGGCCATGTACCAATGCGTGGTAGTACGGAACTGCAAAAACATCGAACAGAGCAGACAACAATAATAACAACAACAAATCCGAGACAAGCTTTTTAACTGATGTAAAATAAGTACGGGTTTCAAGCTGCACTTTCCTGCATCTGTGACGTTAATGACTGAATGAGAAGCCATACTTTATTTCAAACGTCAGATTCCAAAGGAACTCGGCACAGGTCAATTATATTACAGAACACTGTCATGTCTGGATTAATCACCTCTAACACAGAACAAAAAATACCTCGCGTAAACGGAAAGGTACTGTTTTAATGACACCCCAAGGGTGAATTAGGCCGTTCTTGACGGTTCTAGTAAAAGGATTACTCTGTATGCCTGGTACAACTGAATGGATCGGCCTAGCCTACCAACACGTACGCGAAGTGACTGGGTCTAGTGAAAGGAATTTTTTTTATCCCCTGCTGTTGCTCGGTTAGAACCGGTGACGGGGTTTAATGCAATCTCGGCTGGGGCGTCTGGCCCCTTCGGGACACTCAAAGGAGCACAGCCCTCCCAACAACCCTATCTCCCTACAGTCAATATTAATCTTCCATCTTCACTTAGGTCTTGCGAGTTGTCTCTTCCTTTCAGGTTTTCCAACCAAAATTTCGTAGGCATTTCTCTTCTCCCACACTTCAAGCTATATATCACGCCAATCTCATCCTCCTTAATTTGATAATCTTAAAATATGGTAAAGAGTGCAAATTATTATTCTCCGGGCACTTGTCACTGCGTTTAAAAACTAATCAACTTACCATTTTCTGCCTGCTCAGTGTCGTGTACCACAGTAAAATCTTCCATCTTCACTTTCAAATTTACTTCTGGAACAAAAGGAGATACTTAACTTAGAGCCAGATCAGCAACAGGAATACAATGACAGGAATCATGATAAGACGAAATATCACTTTTTTCAAGAAGTGATAAGCTTTGTACAATAATTCGTGTAATAATTGGTATGTACATCAACAACACGATTTGGAAGATGAATTCAAGCCCAGGGCTGCAATGTGAACACCTCGCAGCCTAAGACGTTAGACACTGAGTTTGGCGTCCGTCGAATAGTCAAACTATTTGAGCTTTTTAGAAACTTCTTTGGGATCAGCGGTGCCAAATAATGATCCCACGTGGACGTCTTCATCACCACGTACAATGCAATTCAGTTACGATAACTAACAAAGCCGCGGTTTGGCCTTCCTGGGTTGTAACGTAGTGTGGATTTTTAGGTGGTTACCAACGTTTCGAAGAAATATACTGCCTCTATCATCAGGGCTGAAGTCCTCTTAAGCTAACTGAACTTAACAGGAAGTAATCTGTTCCACGAAGTTAACGAATAGACATCTGACAACAAAATTACGATTTTCAGGAGAATTAACCTGCGTTTGCAAGAATATGGTTTCAGACGCCGCGAAGATTTTTCCACGTTTAAATTACTCCGTAAAGAAACAACATGAATTGTGTAAGTTCAATATTATTTCCGAAAATATTTGCTGCAATAAACTGTGTTACTGTTAAAAAATAATTCCCGTCAAATTTAACGGGTAGTATACCTTCGCTAGGTCGGTATACATAACAATTCATCTCTGAAACAACTGCAATGTCGAATCCTGAGGTGAAAATAAACGTGCAGACTATCGCAGTGCCCTTTAAACCTACGTGACTCTTGAATTTCGGTTGTCTGGTAAATGCACTGTCAGGTGATGGTGGTGATGGTGATGATGATGATGATGAAGTTTCTTTCATGTTTGTCTGCGAGTTGCTTAAAAAAATAAGCCGCAACCTTCTACTTCTGCTCAAGTGAATAAATAAAGTGCATATTTCAGCAAGCCTACGCTACCAGACATGGCAATACTTTACGATCAAGACATTTCGTAGTTTCCTGCTCCAAGGCGAAACTAACCGAAAGCTACAATCAGGATCTGCTCGTTGTTACAAGACATTCACAGTTAGCTCCTCTGAAACGTCGATCAGTACCTTTAAGACTACAGGGCGCAACATCCCACCTGTAACACCGCACTCAGCGTCAGCTCTGTGGAACACCCGATACATCCCCCTCCCCCCACAACGAAATTCTGCTACGCCTACAACTTAAATGCATCTCACTAATCACGTACAGCGGATGACAAGAAACGGCCATGCTCGATGACCGCAGTGAACCGAGTAATTTGCCTCACAGCACCAAAACGCCGGAGCGCCCGTGACTAGAAAGCAGCAAATTCACTCAGTTTTTTCTTTGTCACATTTCACGAGCAGAGGGCGCTGTACGCCCACCTGGCGGTGAAGATGTCGATGTTGGTCTCCTCTGCCGTGGACCTGGACGTTTCGGAGGAACAAACTACCTCCATCATAAGCCCTGAAGATGGATGCAGCATGTTCCTCCGAAACGTTGGTCTCTACGACGACGTTACAAACCAAAACACCAACATTGACAATGATAATTTAAAAGAACACACGGATATCTGCGTCTGAACTGAAGCGTGGGCGATAACTAGGAACTGCAACATTTGTGCAATTGTCTTAACCACGATTAATCTGATTTGGGCTAACAACACAATTCATTCGTGTAGCTAATAGGACACGGAGGCAGGTCTCTGACTCCGGTAGCAGATGACCCGTCGATGTGGTCAAAGTCCACTATCAATGTCCATTACAACTTTAACCACAACTGTGACGTCACACCTACGTTCTGGTACGGGGAATTTCCTCGACACTTGGACAATCTTAAGTCGAACACAACGTGAAATGGCATTAACGAAGGAGGGTTTCTGAAGAGACAAGTGGTAGCTTCATGCTTCGTCCGTCTTTATTTCTGCTGAAATCTAACAGCGCCTACACAAGAAACTAGGCACTATATAGCGGAAAGTCTCGCCTCCCAACAGTCAGTTGTCATGACACGCGGGAAAAAATTAATGACGAACAGTGTGGCGTTACAACTCTGGTTACTTACTGCTATCGGACACGTTAAACACGAAGGGAACAAACCGGTCGTGACTTACGACCACTCAGTTCGATCAAGGCAAAAACCAGTGAGATCTACAACTCATAATACTGACATTTTAAAAGTTGGCCCTAAACTCAAAAATTTTTTTATATTATACTTAAGACCGCAAATAAACAAGAAGCGAGACTTGATAAATAATCCAACACTACGTGTAGCACCCTCAGTACGTGGTACGAAGAAAATTATCTTGTTTCTGTCCGCATAAACTCTGAAATAAAGTTAAACTTTTGTTGACAGCTTGTGAACTTTTTGTCACTCCAATTCTGTGCATCGGATAGCAGATCTGAGGGACTCGCTCCACTGAAGCGGATCTTGTAGACAGCCGACAAAACAGCCACCGAAAGCTCAAATTGAAGTGATTTCAATTCTCAAGGACCGGAAAGAGATAGAACATGTCGACAATTATGAATGATGTAACAGATTCTTTGTACAGTGTTGGAATTGCTTTCGTCACAAGGGAGTAACATGCAGGGAAACAAAAAATACAGTAAAATTGTAGTTTATGCATTAGTTCCGAATGGTTGTTTGAATACGGACGATCTAATGGCGTAACACACACATGTTAGGAGATACGCACGCACAAAGGTATTTAAAAAGGCACTTCGAGCTACATAAGATACATACGAAAGGTCAAATTAAAACAAAAACAGAGAAATTTAATGGACTACACAAATTCCTTTATCGTCCGACATTTCCTTGGAGCTTTGTTTAAGACCAGGAATAAATTTCGTTTCAGTTTTATGGGGTTCTGAACTCAGCTGTTTTCTATAAAGATCCAGCGAGTTCTGTCTCTCCCGCAAAAATTTCTTCAGGCAAAACACACACGTCGTTATTTTGAAGGAATGCACGCCCACGTCTCGTGTTTGCTCGTTAGCTGCCTACTCTAAAATTGCTAACGCTGGTATGCAATTACTCGGACAACTCACATGAAGAGATTTCGTTCTCAGTTTTCCTGTAGTCATTTCGTCAGATGGAGGGTTGTCAAGATACAATATGAAGACGACGATATTCGATAATATGCCTCTAAAGCCACAGATTTATTTAAGACTCCCTATATTTGTTTTAATTTTCAGAAATATTGACGACAAATATTTAACAACCATTCTTTAACTGACGATAGAATTGGTGTCATAACCACAAAAATTTTAACAATATAGTTCTCACTCGTTGAAATAAGTATTGTCTTCTCGGTTTTCCCCCTGCATTTCTAAGTATCTTGTCTGTTAGACGGGCGCTCACAATTACCTAGTGCGCACAGCCACCAACATACAAGGCGGCAGACATTAGAAAGGACGCGTGATATTACATTATTCTGTTTTTACAACATTACTGTAATAACAACGGAGTGTTTCTATGTTGCAGTGCATTAGCTTCATGCGTCAGTTAACAGGTCAAGATCTTGCACAAAGACGGAAGCAATTTCATTACATTGCAGTTCAACAGAAGAAACTACAGTCGAAGGACCGGCGATTTCGCAAGTTTAATACAAAAAGGTTGGTAATAAAAGCAAAAAGTAAAACTATCCCGCTACACGCCATGTAGGCGCTCGGAGGGAGAGGGGGTATAGTTCCTCTCTTTCTTGACCTCTGCACTAGATGGGGGTGAGTGGTCGGCATCACGCCTCGGCCGGCTTTACCCCCGGGAAAGGACCCCCCAGTACCCATTGGACAGGAGGCTGGGTGGGCCTCAGAGCCGGTCTGGACGCAGAGGCTAGAGGAAAAATCCTCTGCCCACGTCGGAGAACGAACCCCGGTCGTCCAACCCGTAGCTAGTCACTGTACCGACTGAGCTATCCCGGGTCTCTAAAAACAATAATACAGCAGATAAAATATAAGTTCGACAACGGGTTAAATAAAAGGAAGTTTGTGGTTTCGGAGGAATAGTGAGGTAATACTGAAAATAATTGGCTCTGTATTACTAGCGCATTCAAAATCATGCGTGAACCGTAACATTTCAGATGAAAATAGTCCCGAGATATAAAAACATTTCACTTAATAAAACCATATGGTTAAGTGTGGTATGATTTAACAGAATAAACTATTCAGATTGTACTTTAATGAGTACAACGAAGTACGAAACGTGGGTAAAAAAGATTCCTACAAATTTTGGTTGATAAAAATCAAATCAAATTCAGCCATATGAGAAATTACATAGCCCCTGGGGGTATACGGTCTTCCCCTGGTTCAGACAAAACCAGACTAAAAGAACGAGCCACATTCGAAAATTTATTTAAAAGTAAATCATACACTGGCACTGCAGAAGACGGCATACTCTGTCGTGTTTTAAACAATTTTCAGTCACACAAGCGCCTTGTTTGCTACCTAGCAGTTAGTTAACTTCGCACGTTCCCAGACGATACATGCAGTGACCGACCATTCATTCTCTGAATTTTTACACGAGAAACTGTAGCTGAATACGGCGACGTTACGTCAGGTCAACTCGAGAGTGGAACACGCTGTCGGCACTCTGCAGGGAAGACAATAGCCCCCTCAGAGTCATGACTGGTTATAACTTTAGCCAGAATACCTTTCTTACTGATCAGGGGCGCACTGAGACAGATGTTAAGGACTGAAATGGAAAGGGCGTGTTACGTTATGTAAGTTATGGGTCCCTTTCCTTTCTATTAAGCGCACAACACAACCGGAGCAATTGTTTGAGAAAAGAAAAATGTGTTTTTTGTCGCCTCGAGGAAATGTTTGACAGCGCGTCTGTTACTCAACAAGTAGACAAACACTTCTGAACAAAATATATATCGGTTTAGGCTCTCAAGGTGGTCATCACGTTGATGTCGGTCTCCTGGGTTGTAATGCCGTGTAGAC